ATAAAATTCGAACTTGAAATATTATTTAAAGAGAATCGAGTTTTTTCCACTTAGACCAATATGTTGTTGGTGAAAAGTAGGGTTATATCAGTTACGTTGAGAACTGGGTAGGGTTATACCTGTTACTTGCAAGTATTTAACCTATTTGGCTAAGTATCATACCTGAATAGTAAAAAAAAAAAGGGTAAGTATTATGTCAAGTAACAAATATTGGTGTTCAAAACTATTTATCCGATTTGTTTAACTAACTTATTTAATTGACTTATAAATTATGCTTATATAATTGAAATTTTATATGTACTTATTTTAACTATATATAAAACTGTTATAACAATAAAATTCTGCTTAAATTTCATAAATAAATACCCATTAAGTTTTAAAAAAAATTCATCAACTAGACTTAAAAAAATCCTTAATATATACCCAATATATTTTAAAAATTTTCTCAATAAACACCTAATTAGTCTTTTTTAAAATTTAATGAATAATAGTTTAAATCTAATATTTATTAAATATTACAATTCGTTTTTAATAAGATTTAATTTCATATTAATTTATTCACACTATCTTATTATAAAATTTGACTTAAACCTTTTTTTCCAATGGTATAATATTAAGGTTACAATTTGTTTCCTATTATATAAATTGACAAACAAAAGAAAAAAAAAAAAAAAGGAGAACAGGGGCCGATCACCACTAATTTCCATTCTCTTTTCTTAATGATAAAATTACAATGCTGGTCCTCAACTTTCAAGATTTTTGCACTTTAGTTCTTAGGTTTTAGAATTTTACAATTTGATCCTCAATCTCACTACATTTGACTTTATGAAATATTATGATTTAATTCTAAATTTACGATTTTTAAAAGTTAAGTACCATCATGCGCAAATAATAAAAATAATATAAAATCAAGTAAAAAAATCATATTAAACCCATTCAAAGTATTAATAAAATTAAGACTAATTTATATCATATTATATATAAAAATTCAACCAATCAACAACTATAAAAAAAAGACAAGTTAAAATGCACTTTCTATGTTTTGATATAAAATTTTTTTAATAAAAATATGTGGAAATAGAAAAAAAAGGTAAAAAAGAAGATATATAATGATAGATGAAGATATCTGAAATGTTTGAGAAATAATGATAGAGATGAGAGTATAATAAAAGAAAAAATAATACACAAGATAAAAAATAAATATAATGATATAAAATGTCAAGGGAAAAGTTGAGAGATAGCATCTCAACAAAAATTAATAAGATGAAATAAGTGACTAAAAAAATAATATAAAAAGAAAGATAAGAGAGATATGATGATAATAATAAATAAATTATTAATATTAATATAAAGAAATTATTAATAACTAATTAAATATTAATATTAATATAGAAAGAGATACAGTCTTAATATAAAAAATTGAAAAAATATAGTCCATGAATAGATAGGGATAGGATATAAAGAGGATATGACAAGGAAAAGAAAAAATGATATAAAACAATTTATTAATATAAAGAGAAAGAATAGATAGAAGTGATTGATAAATTTTCATAATTTATTAATATAGTAACAAATTATGAAGGATAATAATTGATATATCATC